CATACTACTACATGGAAAAATGAACGTGCAGAATATTTAGTTCGACTTATTGATCATATATCAATTTTTATATTGATATCTGGTACACAAACATCTGTAGTTCTATCACTACTTCCGTATACAATAGTGTCTAAGACCATTATTATGATTTCATGGACGATAACTTTAATTGGAACTCTGAAAATTGTGTTGTTTCGTAGGCTTAATCACATATTTGATACGTTAGTCTACATATTACATGGCATTTCTGTTGTTCCTTTTTTTAAGATAATAAAAGCCAGTGTAAACACTTTAGACCTAACATTTATAGTAATGGGTGGTATTGTGTATGTCATAGGTGGCATTGTATATGGATATAAAAAACCAGATCCTTATCCATTTGTTTTCGGTTATCATGAAATTTTTCATGTTACAACAGTGCTAGCTAATTATTGTTTTTTTATACCAATGTTTAAACAATATGTAACTACATTAAAAGAAATTAAAACAGTGTATATTTATTATTAATTTACTTCAAAATAATTACCGTTCTTTGAATTAATATACCCGCGTAAATCAATAGCAACTTCAAAACGTCTACATAAAATATCGCAAGGACTGAACTGATACTTAATCAAGTCCTTAACATGTTCATTTTCATCCCTCATAAATTCTACTAAGTATTTAACAGAATCAGCTGTTTGGATTTGGCCAAAGACATAACTGACCTCGTGTTTAAACAGTGCAGATTTGGCTCGGGGACCTTGACCTAGAATATCTATTGTATTTGTATATTCAGCAGCATCTCTCAGATAAAACATAGATCAATAGTACTAATAGAGGCATTCTTTATCATTCAAAAAAATTCTCTTAGCTTCATCAAAATTCATACATTCAAGAGGAAGTGCGGGATCGCCGAGTCAAAACGTGAAACGTAATTAGATTTCATTTTTATTTTTTGCAATGCTAAATAACAAATTTCCTAAATGGGAATACACCCACATCTACTATTTACTTCGAGTGCATCAACTATATCGTCCCTACAAAAAAGCTTCCTAGTGCTTCACCTACCCCATGTCGTACTATTTCATTTTCAAGTGAATTATTGAAAACATTTATAAGTGTTTTCATTGCATTTTCAAGTCTCATTTGACCGAGAACATAAGCTACTTCGTGCTTTAATAAAACTATCAAAAATACTTTTATTTGATTTGCTTTCTTCTTGCAAGGGTCAGAAAATTATTAAAAATTTATAATTAAAATATTATTGCTCCTCAACATTAAATAAAAGCAAATTTTATTTTTATGCATCAAGCAGGGGTTCGATGTAGTAGATTATCCATTAAAAATTAGAGAAAATACAAAACTTTATTTTCACTACACAAGATCTAAAATAGAATTTAGAATTATGAACACTGTAGACTCAAAGAAAATATATGCATCAAAGAAAAGATCTAATGACTTACTTCTTCTATTAGACATAAATATAGATACAGTAGAGATTGTAGGGTTTACTACTAGTCTATACACCTTTGAAGGACCACTAGATTTCTATATAGATCATACTGATTCTCTACCATTATATAACCATTTAGGTAATATTATCTTAGATCGTACTGTTACAGACCTTTTAGATGTAAGTCAAGTTGTAT